AAAACACTCAACAAAAATGCACTGACACGTTGTATGAAAAATAAAACAAATTGAAAGACAGGGAGCATTTACAAGGTTATTCATTTTTGCTTGCCACCTAGAAGCACCAGATATAATAATGGAAATGAACAGGGGAGAACATCTGAAAAAGATTTGTGCCTATGAGAAGTCAAGGGACACAGAGAAGCACAGCAATGATGTATTCTGATCTGACAAAGCCCCCAACGTGACAGGAGTGAGAAGGACAACAAACGCATTCCCCAATGGTCAAGTGCAACAAATAAATGCTGCAGGGATCATTCCACAAGTACTATGTGGTTATATTGCAGCCAGGATTTCTGAGTTTGGATTTGCAGCTAGTCATCTGCCAACCCTATTCCCTCCAGTACGATGCATTTTATTTCAGGATAGCCCCCAACTATGAGATTTTTGATTAAACAAGGGCATAATTCAGCACCTGCCTCCATCTCTGTGCATGCCAATGTTTTGCTGGCACGTTACATGGCACAGTAGTAGTACACATGTTATTTCCAAACAGGCTGACAAGAGGGGTTTAAACATTCCCAAGTGTTGCACCAGTTCTAACCACCACTGTACGGCTTACACAATCCCCACTAAATGCTGTGTATCTGTATCTATCCATCTATCTGTGTATATGTGAGTACGTCTGAGTGACTCAATGAAAGAAGAGAATATACACTTTGCAAAGCCAAACAGAAAAAGCAAAAGAAAGAGCACTGTTCCAGAGGCTGGAAAAATGGCATACAGACACTACATCTTTCTTGAATCTGTGGCACAGAAGAGAACCCAGATTCCTGAGTCCACACCAGCATCTAAAATCCTTTATTTTAGCAAAGTGCTATAGGATTGGAAGTATGCCAATGCCAGCTCTTGGAGGATCTTGGAGAAGGTAAATAACACATAGCCTGTAGGGGAGAAAAACACTAAAAAGTATTTTTCCGAGTTTCCCCTTCCCTTTTTATCTTTCCTAGATACGACAGGTTCTCATCTCCTCATCTCACTATAGCACTTCATTTCTCATTTATTCTAAGCAAGGGAGTGCATTCTAAGAATCCCAGAACAGTAGCCACAACTAGTCTCCTATTACATTTGGAGATGAAAAGTAACTTACTGGTGAAAGAAGCTTTTTGTTTTAAATCCTGTCTATGTAAGACCGACAGCATCACTCTTCCCATTGTAAAAACACAGGAAGCCCTGCTCTGTAAAAGCAATTTCAAGGAGGATGAAGGAAAGGAAAGACCCAGCCTCTGGCTGGCAGCATGCACACTACCTGCTGTGATAACACAGAAAGGAGCTATATTAGGACACTAGACTGTAAGAGCATGCAGCTCTTACATCTTGGATGCTCTGGACACACACCAGCTCTTCTAATCCTTGCATTTCACATGAGAGAAGCATTACAAGTATTAACCTCCTATTCTTTACCAATAGGGAACTGCGAAGCGAAGTGACTTGTCCAGGGTTACATTCACCCAGTACCAGAGCTGGGATTAGCATCTGTGGTCCCTTTTGCCTTCTGCTCCATGCTGTCCCCACCATCAATTTCCTCTCTGCTTGCTAGTACACCAGAAAAGCAAGAAACCATTTGCCTCTGCAACTCAATATGAAGTCAAGTGCATGTGGTGTTAAAAATAAATTCTCGATTACATGTTTTCCTCACTAGCTATATTCTTTAAGAGCCTGCAAAAGTTTTCACAGGCCACAGCCTGCTTTCATAAAGACACCAAGATCCATATCTTGCATTATATCTCAGGTCTCTGCTACAAGGCCAGACAGGAAACAAAAACTTCAGCTTAAGTTTCAGAACTTGAAGGAGACAAGACTTTGGTCTTTAAAGACAAAGAAGTCGAATGCTTAATACAAGAATAATTTCATCTGTTGGAGAGGAGCAGAGAGACTGTGTGCAGCAGCGTTCTATGTATTCCCTTTGCCATTTTTCCATCTGCATCACATCATCACCACCTCCCCAATAAAAGCTATAAGTTCCTAACTTGAAATGACCCACTACATGTTGCATCAGAGACGTGCATGCAGTTTACAAAAGCAAGCTTAGAATAATCTTAGGCTCTTATCTTTCTTTCTTTTTGGTTCATTTTATTCACTCTTTCAGGAACCAAAACAGTAAAGAAGTAATAATGAAAACTAAACAATATAGCACAGGAGAGATGATTTCTGCATGTGAGAGAGATGGAGCAGCCAAGACGAATGTGGAGAAATGTGGTCTTAAACCACCTTTGTGCCCCCCAGATTCTGGCTATACCAGGAACTAGCACAGACTCCAGGGCATTGTAATTCACAGCAGTCTCGCTACGGCT